AGACCATTTGACAAAATCTAACAGCTGTTTAAAAAAAAAAAAAAAAAGATCTCTTACCTTTTGAGATGACATGGAAGGACCTGGAGAGTATTATGATAAACAGAATAAACCAGACAGAGAAATGCAAGTACCACTTGATATCATTTATTTGTGGAATCTAATGAACAAAATAAGCTTATAAACAAAACAGATCCAGAGACACAGAAGGAGGGAACAGACTGACAAACCTCAGAGGGAAGGGGGAGTTGGGGTGCAGGAAGAGAAAAACCAAAGAATTTATATGCTTATATGCATAATCAATGGACACAGACAACAGTAGAGTGAAGGCAGAGGGGGATGGGAGCAGGGAGGAGGGGGTCAACAGGGGAAAAATGAAGGACATCTGTAATACATTCAACAATAAAGATAAATTTTACAAAAGAAAACAGAAGTGATTATTGAGATACAGATGGGTTTTCAAATCCTAAGTCCTACAAAACTGCTTCTCTCTCCCTTTCAAGCTATTGACAAAACTTGTATGATATCCATATAAAAAGAGAAAAACATTATCAGGAAGAAAATTCCATTTAGACAAATTTGTAGCTGGTTGAATTTATGTATTAACAAATATATCAGGATAAGTCTAGAGCATGAAAAGATTCGTAAGATAAGCTATTAAATACATTCATCCATTCAACAGACAACTTACCTTGTGCTTTCTCTTGAGAAGATCATCAGACTGCATAGCTAATTACACTACAATGTGTGGCATACTGTCTCTGATTCTGGAGTAGAATCTCAAGAGGCTGACCTAGAAATCATTGTTGTTACAAGGGACTCAGGCAATCCTTGCCATTAGAAATGATGTAGGAAGCTATGGCATATGCTACAATCAAATTTAAAATATCTCTATCAAAAAGTAAGTAGATACAATTAAGAAAAAAAAGAACAATTTTTTAATAATTCCTCCACTGGCAAGAACTATGGATTAAAACATAGAAGGAGAAATATAATGATGAGTGATGTTAAAATACTGCAAAAATTGGACTTAACCAATTATACAACAAATTAGTGTATGTGACCTGATTTGATAGGTTTGTTAAAAGGCAGGTATATCCACATACTCTCCAATTTACTAACTTTATTATAATAGTAGATAAAAATAAAGTATGTTGATAGCAATACAAATAAATAAATAACTGTAAGAAAGATGTTATAAAATATCAGATGCTCTTTTCAATATTTGGTTCAGATATGAATTTGTCAGTCAAGGTCAAAAGAAATGTTTTCCAACTATATCAGATTTGTCCAGCTGCATCCCAATATGTGCTTCTTACATATTTTTATTTTTATTTTATTTTTCCATTTGGATACAATAATTTTTTGGTATGTCCCTACAATATAGAGTTATGAAGAGGAATCAGACTTGCAGTCTTTCCTATGTTTATTGAGTTCTCAAGTACATTCTGTTGTTAATTCTCCCTCAAGGATATTTTTCTATTAATTTTTAGAGAAAGTGGAAGGAAGGGAGGGATGGAGGGGAGGAGGGAGAGAGAGAGAGAGAGAGAGAGAGAGAGAGAGAGAGAGAGAGAGAGAGAGAGAGAGAGAAATATTGATGCAAGAGAGACACCTTAATCGGTTACCCCCCGCATGACCCTGACTGTGCAGGGGATTGAACCTGCAACCCTTCTGTCTGCAAGCTGATGCTCTAAACTTTGAGCCAAACTGGCCAAGGCTCTTAAGCACATTTTAAAAAGCAGGCTGTTGCCCTGGCCAAAGTGGCTCAGTAGTTAGACTATCGACCTGTGCACCAAAGGGTCTTGGATTCAATTCCTGGTCAAGGACACTACCTGTGTTGTAGGTTGGATCCATGGCCCTGTTCAGGGTGCATAAGAGAGTCAACCAATCCATGTGTCTCTTTCACATCAATGTGCGCTCTCTCTCTCTCTCTCTCTCTCTCTCATCTCTCTATCTCTCTCTCTTTCTTCCTGTCTCCCTGTCCCTTTCTCCCATTCTCTTTAAAAATCAGTGGAAAAAATACTCTTGGGTTAGGATTAACAGCAACAACAAAAAAAACTATGTTGTTGACAAAGAGGCCAGCTCAGACACCTGAAATAACATTCAAAAATAGCAAAACCTATAAAAGTTTTCTACACAGTGGAACACTGATTGCTTTGATAGCCAAATCTGTAACACGTCTCTGGAGCACACCTATTGCTGTCTGATTATTTCATCTCCTCACACTGGCTTGGGCTTGGAAACTTGGTCTGGTCAGTGTCACATCACCTAAGAAGAATCTAGAAAAAGTACTTGAGGACTTCCACTGATACACTTCCTTCTGCCATCACCTCAAGAACTTGACTGTATGACTAGGTAGTTTGCTGGGGGATGAGAGACACATGGGGAAAAGCTACATAGATACATTTCACACAGCCAAGACTGAACTTGGAAGCACACCAGTGGATGTGTAAGGGAGCTAGCTCATTCAATACCTAAAGCTTCCCACTAAACCCAGCTTAAATTTCTGCCCCACAGACTCATGGGCTTCGTAAATATTTTTGTTGTTTGCTATTATTGTTTGGGGTCATTTATAATGTAGAAATACTGTGGCAATGGATAATTGATACATATGTGGGATCTCAAAACATGTAGTCATACTTATTATTAATACTATCACCAGAATATGTTCTAGTCTAATAGTAATGGAGGTAGAAGTTGGAGATATCATATAAGTAGTAAGTCCAATTTATCTGTTATTACTTGTAAATAACATGTTAAACTTTGGCGACAATTTCCTCAGATAATTGGAACCTACTACTTAAAAGAGAAAAAAAAACATTTTCACTAACTAACTATTTAGAAACAAGCCTTTATGTAATAGCTGGGATCCTTACCTAGATTGTGTTGAAGAAAATACTGTTTAAAAATAAATGTTAGTTGGTTCTGCTCATCATGAACATAATATATGATTATCATGAAAAATTTGAAAGCCTGGAAAGATAAAAGAAAGACAATCATTTTTAGTTCTAACACTAAAAGATAGGAGACAATTGTTAAGATTTAATATATTTTAACACATTTCTTTTTGGTCTATTTTTTTTGCATATATGTAATTTACTTAACACAACTGTGACTATATTAATTGTAAAACCTTGTACAAACTATTTTTGTTTAAATTATTACAAGTTATAAATAACTACTACTGTAATGGCTATTAATCACAGCTTGAAAGTATATATAATTTCTACAAGTATGCTACTTTCATTGTATATTTAGTTTGGATGTTTCATTGCTACTATATATAACATATTGGTGAACATTGATGTACCTAGGGTTACTATGTAAGGGTTACTCATTTAAAATAGAATCCCAGAAGTAGAATTACTGAGTCAAAGGGTATAACATTTTGAGGCCTCAGGAATATGCCATCAGATTATTCTTCCAAAGTGCTATATCAATTTACCTTACCACCAAACACTTTATGTTTTTAAAACAGAGTTAATTAAGCATATACATGTAGTCTATAGTAGTGTCCCCCAAATGTATTATATTCTAATCAATAGCATATGTGAGTCATTATTTTGTCTCCAAGCTTGCACTGTGACACCAAGGATCCTTTCGGGATGTTTTGAGGACTATGCAAGGCTGTTTCTTCCTTCTTAAATGGCACTAATATGCTCTCTACCCCAGTTTTAGTTTCTTTTTTGTTGTTTTCTGTCTTTTTTTTTTCTCTTTAGTCCTGAAATCCTAATGGTAAAAATGATAATAAACAATTTTGGGAAAATACTTTCTAAGACACTGGGAACTCACATATGCTATTGATTAGAATATAATACATTTGGGGGACACTACTATAGACTACATGCTTATGATCCCCCAAATCATATGTTGAAATCTAATCTTTAATATGAAGGTACTTTGAGGTGGGACCATTGAGAGGAGTTTAGGTAATGAGAGTGGAGACGTCATGAATGGGATTAGTGACCTTATGAAAGAGACAAGGAGAACTCCCTTGGCCCTTCCCTATGTGAGGACACCAAACTGCGGGCACCATGATCTCGGACTTCCCAGCCTTCAAATTCTGAGAAATCAATGTTTGTGATGTATAAGCTATCCAGTCATAGTAACCGCCTTTCCAAAGTAAGTAGTCAGAGTCTTAAAATATGCTTGTCATTTAAACCAGAGATTCTCACTTCTAGTGCTTTATAATGTGTTTATATTCATGCACTAAACTCAGAAAATAATCATAAATATAGAAGCTTCATTTTCAAGAATGTTTATTAAATAATAATAATATTAGAAAAAGCTAGGACAAATCATGTTGCTATTATATAGTGGGATACTACAGCTATTAAAAATATGTAGAAGAAAATATCATAACAAGGAGAAAATTAGGAATTCATTAATTGAAAATAAATGTTATAAAAGATAATGTCATATGTATACAGAATGGTACAATATTAATTCTTAAATGTGTATGCAGTTGCCTAAAATTACCAAGAGACTCAATTGTGTAATATAAACTGTGTTCTGTATAATAGCATTATGGATTGCTTGTAGAATCATTGTTGCTCTTTCTAAGATTTCTACTTGAATCATCTAAAATAAGAGAAAACAGCCCTGCCCAGTTTGGTTTAGCTATTAGAGCATTGGCCTGCCAACCAAAGGGTCTTGGGTTTGATTCCCAGTCAAGAACACACGCCTGGGTTGCAGGTTCAGTCCTCAGCCTGGGTTGGGGCTGTGTGGGAGGCAATCAATCAATGTTTTTCTCTCATATGGATGGTTCTCTGTCTCTCTCTTCCTCTCTCTCCTCCCTCCCTTCCACTCTATCTAGAAATTTATGGAAAAATATACTCTAGTGAGGATTAACAAATAAATAAGTAAATAAAACAAGAGAAAATGGATGTTGAGTTAGGGTTTAGGGTACTCACCTCAGAGTAAAGTACATAAATTCTATTGCATAAACTTTATGCCATATAGTTAGGCTTCTCAGATTTTTTCTTTATCTCTCTTCTGATCCTAGGTATGCATTGAGGATGACAGATACACTACCTTCAAATAGTTCCACTGTTACCCGTGAGTAGTTCTCAAGAGTGATGATACATTGAGAAGTTCTCTTGAAGTTTATTACTGGTCCTCTGTAGTTTTATAGATGTGCCAGTTATAATATAAGCTTTATTACTATTCATTATTTGATAAACGGGATATTTGAGCATAACATTAATTGTGTTTCAAACTTAATGCCCTCAAGGACCAAGGAGGTTATGCAAAATAAGTAAAGTCAATCAGCCAAAAGTCAGGTGCAAAGAGAACAGGGACTCACTACCAACTGACTACAGACAAAGCTCATTGATATTGTGTGTTCAGTTCCAGCCCATTGCCATAAAGCAAGTATCTCAATAAATTCAAGCAAGTCATAAGCTTTTTTTCTGGAGGAGAGTCTTACTTTCACTTTGTAAGAAATGCAAAATATATGAAACACAATAGAGGGAAGCTCAATAAGATGAGGTATGCTTGAAAAGCAACATTGGCCTGAAGCCAGCTCTAATGATTTTTTCCAAGGGAAGCTACAAATCCAGTTTAAAGCTCTCTCTCTATTTTTATATCTTGGCTATTGTTTCAAAGGTGTTAAAACTTTACAAGGCAGAGAAACATGACTGCAAGTTGCATTTGTCCTGTGAGAAGCCAGTTTCTGATTTCTGACATGCAGACATGTCGTCTTGTCAAATTGGTGGCACCTACAAGTAAATCATTCTGATATAAAGACCAATAATTTTGCAGTGAATAATAAACTCATTTATTAACTAGACATCTCAGCATAACGGGACTGCAAGTTGTCAAGGTGAATGAAATGACAAACAAGTAAGCTAATATTTTTCAGTTTTATACCCAGGATCTTTAAGTGAATCATTTTAGTTTTCTGACATATGTACTTTGTAGAGGAGCAATGTCAAAATTTATAAACCTCAATGTCTATAATTGTCCACTTCCAAAATTGATGGGCATTCAAAGGACTCTGGGAAAAGAAAGACTTCAATAATCAGAGCAAAGTGTAGCCTGACTTTTAGGATTACTGGATGTGAGGCTGCCCGTAGTGAGTCTGTTTTCCAAAACAGGGATTTCTAAGGTTGACAAGGACACACAAACTGCTTGGACAACAGGAAGTCCAAGTTATTGGGTTCTGGTTATTTATAGTTGTACAGTAATGAAGGGTGATCAATACCTGGAAACTTGAAGCTTTGGGGAAATTACGGCTCTTCTTGTAGTGAGATTCTATGGAAAGCTGAGTTTGGCTGAAATCCCTAACTTAGATAAAAGGGTGTTGGTATCAATTGCATTTTGATTTCCCTAGAAGAGGGGGCTTGATCTTGTTAGTCAAGCATCTCAGTCTGACATCCAAGGTCACTTGGGAACAATTCTCTTTGTATGACAGTCATATACTCATTGAAGATATGGTGGGACTAGTATTTACTGAAACTTAAGAAAAATGAAATGCAAACTGTCATTGAGGATGGGTAGAATGTCTGTCAAGCAATTTTAGTCAGCACTCAGATAATGCTGTTGCTGGAAGTGGTCCATAGACCATACTTTGAAAAACCTTATTGTGTGTGTGTGTATAATTTATACACTACCTTAAAAAATTCAAACATCAGTAACTAGATATTCCTATCTGCATCTATTTATCTGTGACTGACTGTGTTTTCCAAACAGGTCAGAATAATGACATGTGCTATTCTAGGATCTTGCCACTTTCTTAGAAAGAGGTAAAGCCTAATTCCCCTTTCCCGGAGTCTGAGTGGGACTGTGACTTGCTCGTAACCAGTAGAAGGTTGTGGAGGTTACTGCGTGACTTCGAATGCTTTGTAACAAAAGGCAATATGGCTTTGGCCTTGGGAGCTCAAGACCTAGCGCTGGTGCACCAGTCCCCGTGTAAGCATTGCGACCCCTGAGGTTGCCATGCTGTGATCGTTCCAACCAGTCCACGTGGAGAAACACGTGGAGAATCTCTGTGGCTAAGTGACCGGAAGCTCTGCCGGCCCCAAGCTCCTCCAGTTCCGCCACCATCTGACCACACCTGCAGGAGTCTGAGCTGGGAACAGCCAGCCAAACAAGTGCCCCTCACATTTCTGACTCAGAGAAAGTGTGAGGGTGGGTAAAATCATTCTTGCTGGTTTAAGCCACTAAGACGTAGAATGATTTTTATGCAGTGATACAACAGAAATCACTCTGTTTGTCTATCAGCCCTTTCTTCAAAGATAATTTTTAAAAGGGAAGAAGCTCTCATTTAGATGAGATGGTGGTCTCAGGACTATCTGCTTGCCTCCTCTATAGCACCCAAGGCACTTCAGTGAACCCTTGAGACGTTATGGACTAGTTTAGAGTCAAATGATGTTTTTGAAGACAAGGACAAAAAAATCTTGAATCTCATAAACAAATTCTAAAGAGAGAAGAAGCAAGAGTAGGGAAAACAAGTGTGCACCTGAGCCCTATTCAGAGTGTTGAAACAACTGACTTCCCTCCTTGAATAATATAAGGAGTCACTGCATCTTCAAGAAATACTGACATGGCAAAGGAATACAAGTAACCCACCACAGTTCAGATAATGAGAATAAAGGGTAAACTCTGACCTGTAGGTGACCAAGGCTTTCCCCGTCTTTGAAATCATCTCAGTTCATGGGGAAACTGAACTAAAGAGATAAATTAAAAACACATTGGAGAGCCCTGGCCGGTTTGGCTCAGCGGTTAGAGCGTCGGCCTGCGGTCCCGAGAGACTTGGGTTCGGTTCCCTCTAAGGGCATGTACCTTGGTTGCAGTTTGTCCCCGGCCCTGGTTGGTCGTGCGGGTGGCAGCCACTCGATGTGTCCCTTTCACATCGATGTTTCTCTCTCTCTTCCTCTCTCCCCTTCCCACTCTACCTGAACAAAAAATAGAAAAATGTCCTCAGGTGAGGATAAAAAAACAAACAAACCAAAAAACAAAAAAAACAAAAAACAAAACAAAACAAACACATTGGAGAGAAAAATTAATCAATATTTGTAAAGCTGCTACCTTACATCATAGAAAGTTACACTATCACACAAGATGCTAAAATTTTAAAAATTTATTATCTCTTGAATTCAGATGGAAAGTGGAAGCTTCATGAGATTAAATATTGTAGTGTCACTCAGATAACAAAGAGCAGAAATTTGAACTCGGGTGTGCCTCCTGCCAGAGCCTGGGTGTTCTCTACATTATTGCTCTCTGTAACATGCCCCAGGGCCTGAAACTAACTTGGCAAAGAACCAAGAGAGATTCCTCTGACTCTGCCATTCACTGCATTGAATCACGTGTGACTGGTAAGTTACAGTTTTCACTGCCCATAAGACAGGGCACATTGACTACAGGACCTTAAATCTCAATGACAAATCTATCCTTTCTTGTTCCCTGGGCCTGAGAGCTGAGCGCAGCGCATCAGAGCCAACAGCACTCCCCTAATCTCAGTGGCTAGAATGAGTATCTTGCCAGCAACTCCATTTGTCTTTTTTGTTCCCGTACCTCCCAGATCCATCTTAAATGCATGCCAGTAGAGAAGGAATGTGGCCTGGATTCCAGTTCCCTGCCTCCCAGGAGTTTTCAATTTGGAAAGCTGAAACAAGATAATCATTAAGAGAGACAACTCTGAAGTCACTCTGCCTGGATGGAATGGTCAGCCCCACTACTTCCTGGTCATGTAACCTTAGGTGTATTTAGTGAGCCTCCCCATTGAGTATTGTTAATCGTACTGTGAAAAGCAGACACAGGACAGATTTAAATCTGCAAAACTTTGGAGAAGCATCTATGAAGCATAAAAAAGAGAGGGAGCAAGAATAGGCATGGAGAACCTCCTGACCACAGTGCAAGTCTAATACTCATGAAAGGAGAGTGGGGACAGAATCATGAGTGAAGAGCCTCCCACTGCAGCGCCTCTCTGGTCAGGCTGATGGGGAGTCACCATGTAAGTATTGCCCATTAGAGGAATCCCATGTTGGACACAAATGTCTTGGTTCTCTTGCCCCCACTGTGCTCAGTCATTGGCTGGGAGCAGCCCAGAGACAGAGCGGTCGTGGTGAATGCTGGGATATATTGCCAAATGTATGGTGACTGGAGGTTGTCAGCTCATTATGACTCCCCACAGCAGGTTCTCTCTTGAAGGGAGATCTGAGCAGTGCATGCTGTTACATATATTCACTATGTGGCAGGGCTATTGCAAGGGTGAAATGGTTTGATTCATAAAATGCATTAAGAGCCCAGCTGGTGTGGCTTAGTGGATTGAACATCGTCCCATGGACTTAGAAGTCCTGAGTCCTGGTCAGGGCACATGCCTGGGTTGCAGGCTGGATCCCCAGTAGGGGGCGTGTTGGAGGCAGCTGATGGATGTTTCTCTCTCACAGCAATGTTTCTATCTCTCTCCTTCTCTCTATAAATAATGAAAACATATTTAAAAAATCAATGGAAAAATATCCTTGGCTGTGGATTAACAACAACAAGAAAAAATGATAAAAAAATAAATCCCTGAAGATATTTATATGTGGGAAGATTTGAAAACTACGCATCTGCAGAGGAATTTATTAGGGGTATGTACCTTGCGGTATTCATGTTTGCTTGTCCCTCACTGGACTGTTCACAATGGCAGCGGAAAGGGCAGGAACACCTCCCATGACAAGGTCGCCATAACATGCATGCAATGAGTTAAAATTTTTACATATTTTAAATTAAAAATAAATATCTCATGGATGTATACTCCCTAATACATTCTGTTTTCTGTAATATAAAATATTTTTTCACAAAAATATTCAAGTAGAAGTGCCTGGCATGATACATCATGATAATTCCATGGGTTCTTGTGCTCCCAGCATACTACCTCTTCCACAGTGTGCATGGCTCTGATATTGAGTCCAGGAGCTCAAGTGTGGATATCATACGTAACCAGGTTTAAAGTCCATCTTTGCCACTTATATTAGTATATCCTGAGCAAGCAGCTTAGGCTTTCTAAGCCTTAGTTTTATTGTGAGGATTAAATACAATGATATGCTTAGACAATCTGTCTGGTAAATAAGTTTTCACTTATGTCTATGTTACAATGTTTTGATTAAGGAATATGTCCCTCTATTCTGTGTTGTTACTGGAACTGGGTAGAACTGGTGTTATTACGCTCCTTGTTTTATGAAGAATTCTGAAAGAATTCGGAAGGGTAGGCACTGGAAGGTCAAGGAAGGCAAAGGTAATGTGACTGAGGCTGGAGGAGAGAGGAAAGCAGAGTCTTGTTAATTTCTTCATCCACATAGCTTGGGTGGTTTTTGTATTTAGGCAATAGGTCTGGGGTGAGACGCTGGGCAGGGAAGGGACAGCAGTGCTTCTAAACCCGATTATGCCTTTAGTCCTGCCATTTTAGGAAGCTGCCTCGGGTGATATTTAACCTTCTTCAGTGAATCTCAGTCAAGACGATTTTTCCATTGAGATTTAAATTCTGAACAGATTCCAAGTTGCAAGACCTACTTGAATGCATCTGAGAACCAAGATGTGCTGATTTAGGCTTCTGAAGCTCAAGTTAGTTGACCTGGCAGCTCTGGTGTGAGATGAGGTGGAACTTAAATGTGCAAATTGGTTACTTTCCAGGCATCTGCAATTTGGTGTCAGACTTGCCCAATGAGGAGAGTCTTCCCAGTCCCTCTTCTGTTGACAAAAGTGTTTGGACCGTGACTGGCAATAAGGAACAAGAATAATGTTTATGAAAAATCACTTTACCTTTGTCTCGCATGCCACATTGAACAACTGCAATATCACATCCATTATTGTATTTGATTCTTGAAGCAATTCAAAAAACTAGAAAAATTACCACAGCCTGAGATTAGGCATATTCTTAGAGGACCCATTCAGAATGTGTGCCCCTGTGCAGGTACACACAACGACCTCCTTTCTGCTTGTAGTGTACATGCTCTGCTGTTTAAATTTCACTTCTTCATATTTCATTTGCCTGTTTCAAATCTTCCTGTTCTCTGGTCATTTGCATCTTGTCCTAATATCTCGCTAACATTAGCAGAAGTAATTATTGAGAAGAAATGCACATGTGACTGAACTTATCCCTGAATTTCTGCTGGAAATGCTCCCAGTCACAGGTGTTAGCATTCTTTTCTTTCTCTCTCTTTCTTTCAGTATATCTATCTGTCTTTCCATCTTCTGTCCTCCCTCCCTCCCTCTTTCCCTCCCTCCCTCCCTCTTCCTCCCTCTCTTCTTTCCTTTCTCTCTCCTTCCTTCCTTCCTCCCTTCCTTCCTTCCTTCCTTCCTTCCTTCCTTCCTTCCTTCCTTCCTTCCTTCCTTCCTTCCTTCTGTTGCTAGGAAAAAATAAGTGTGTGCGTGTGCGTGTGCGTGTGCATGTGTGTGTTTGTGTGTGCTGGAAAAAGGTAAGAATTAAGGGTAAGAATGGAATTAACAAAATAAAGAAAATCATCAAGTTCCAAAAGGAATCCTTTAGAGGTTAAAGGCAGACTCTACATCGGTGTTCATCTGTACTGTGATTTCATGGGACAGAGTTCTTCTGGTAAGAGAACACTATCAGGCTCTGACTGTGCCACTTACACTATGTTCCTGTGCACAGTGACACCTGAAATCAGCGATAACTAAACCTGTTTTAGTAATTTCATCTTTCGGAAATGTACTCTCTTCCTAGTTTTAATTGTTAATGTTTACCAGGTGAATTAATATTCTCAAATATGTGTGTGATAAATCTTGCACAGCAGTTACCATGATCCTTTCCCTAAATGATTCTGCCGTGTATTTTAAGATCTTTATTTTGCCAGATGGTCTTGAGATCACTGATACAGCAATCAGGAGTTCCCATTTATGTAGAAATGAAACCATCAGAGAGATAAGTGTTAACAGAGTGAGAATTTATTTTTTATACTTGAGAATTTTAGGATTCTTAGTGAAATACATATTTTTATATGTGATAAGATATGAACATCTTTTAAACAAATAATAGGTTAAACACATACCTGCCCCAAGTCATTGAAATGATAATAATAATGATGATGATAAAGAGTTTGACAGATAGGACATTTTCAAAATAATACTTAACATATGGTAGAAACATAAACCTATTTGTCTGACACTTTTTCATTTGATTTAGGATGAATTTACAAAATATTTTGATAGAAGAGAGGCCATTTAATGTTGTGATTAAAACCTTAAATTCCGGAGTCATAGAGAACTAACTGAATTTGACTCTTGCTTCTTATGTTTACTAGCCCAGCTTTCCAGACCACAAACCCAGTTTTCTCAGCTGTACAATGGGGACCAAATTAGTAACTACCAGGGTTGCTAAATTATAAAATCAGATGCAGAATGTGAAATGATTAGCACAGTATTTAATATAAAGTCAGTGTTTAGTAAGTAGTGCTGTTGGTATATTATTACTTATTAATAGTAATATTCAGTTGTATTTACCAATATTGGTATATCTCATGCATTCTGAAATATGTTTTTTTTTCCTCTTAGACTATCCAAAAGCAATTTTTTCTGTATTTATAACATTATTTCTTATGTGCTTATATTTAAAAAAAAATTTTTTTTTACTATATTGATTTTTAGAGAGAGAGGAAGGGAGAGTAAGAGATAGAAACATCGATGAGAGAGAACATCGATTGGCCACCTCTTGCATGTCCCCCACTGGGGATCAGGCCCACAACCTGGGCATGTGGCCTGACGAGGAGTCAAACTGGTGACCTCTTGGTGCATAAGTTGATGCTCAACCACTGAGCCACACTGGCTGGGCTATTATGTACTTATTGAGTAACTACTGTGTGTTGGATAGATTGCTGGAAGCTAAATTTAGGATGGTGAGCTAAGCAAAATTCTTCCTTCCATAGAAATTTTAGCTTGAGGAATAAATAATAAAAAAGCAAACTAATAAATCTATTGCTATTTGCCTGTTTAACAATTGAGTGCTGATAAAGGGTTGCTGTCTCAGTCCGTGGAAGTCAGGCTCAGAGCATGTCCTGAAATATGGAACAGAGTGGGGAACAATCGGTAATGAGAATGAGAATCTTCACTGTTGCAACTGGGAACTGTGGGCCCTAAGGTAACTCACTGTACACACGCAACTTATGGCTGTCCCGTCACTTCACACAGCCCAGTTGAGGGGTGCATATGCATGCGTATGTGCGTGGGCATTTCTTTCAAATAACCTCATCAGTGTTCCCCAAATAATATAAAATAAGTACGCAGGTTAAAGGTCACTCTTAATAGAAAAATATAGTTCAAGAATACTCAGCACCTCTGAGGCATGCTGAATGAACACAGAATGTAGGCAAATCTATGTGGTTACCTTCATTTATTTTCTGGAATAAGACCCCTCTCCCCTGCCGATGTATTTAAATCTTATCATTTGAAGTCTTAATGAAAATAAGAAGAAATTCTTAAAAGAGAGCTTTCCGAAGTGCTGGTGCATGAATGGACAAAGACTTCGGTTTCTGCTCTGCACTTCTCCAGAGGGGACCCTTTCTAGGTGTAATGTTCATAGAGGCTTCTTCCTGGAGTTCCTGGCTTCTGAGCTAACGTCAAGCCTGTTCCAATGTCTCGGGTGCTCATTCCAAAAGACCTTAATAAAAGCACCAAGAAGAAAGGAAAAAGTTTTCCTCCTGGCTCTCAGCAGTGGATTACAAGCTGGCATTCTCTGCTCCCATTCTTAAAACTCGAAGGGTGGTGCAGGCAGTGATGCTGACAGTGTGCATTCGCAGATGCCACCATATGGGTCTCGGAAAACTAGTTGCACTGATGATTCCCTGCACATGTAGGAGACAGTTTGCATTGTTGGCATCGTCCCTGCACAGAAACAAGCACAGCTTAGTAATGCTGAGCAGATGGCACTAGATCTGGTGCCAGGGAAGCAGTGAATTAAAGGTTATACCCACCAGGTTTGATGTGGTGCCAGTTTGAATTGGTACAGAAGCTTCAGCCCACCTGCTTATTGGCCTCATGACATCTGGCATCTTTTTATTTTTATTTTTTTAAAAATTTGGACTGCATTGAAGGCAGCAAGGAAAAATGTCATTTTAAAAGCCAGTTAGAAGTCAATGGATTTAAATTATTTACAAAAAAAAAAAAAAAAAAAAAAAAGGCCTACCGGCCCTCTGCTTTAATGCTTTATATTAATGACTTTTATAAAACCTTGGGGAAATTACACGCTGATGTGCTGAATTGTGCTGCAATTTATAGGATCATAATAATGGAGAGGGTGGACCACTGCAAACTGGCTTCAAGTTGCTATGTGGTGACAACAGAAAAAGGCTATTATCTGTCCTCTATATATTTTAATTAGGAATTGGGGAAATAAACTTGTTTCTATTTATTCTAATTATTTTCACATTGTGATAATTAGAAAACAGTGTGGCATTTCTCATAGAAACATACTCTGAAAGGTGTTTCTCCACCTTTAGTTTGCTCCTGAAAAGTTTTTTTTTTTTTTTGGTAGCCGTGCATTTAGTTATGCTGCCTTTCAGCTGCAATCCCCACTTGCT